TATATATATATATATATATATATATATATATATATATAGCAATATCATTTTAGGACAATTTGACTGTACCTTGAAGGACTGCATGAGTAATTCCCTTGATGCTTTACAGATGCACTGAGAATCACAAGGTGTGTCTGAAAAAAAATCAAACCAAGCTTCTGCTGCTCAGATGCTGACATGTTGCTGTACAAAAGCGTTTTCTGGTCATTCTCCTTTTTCCAGAGTATTGTCTTTGCAGTACCACTTGTATACCCATTACATCGCAGTGTCACAAGCTCCCCAACATTGACGAATATATCCTTGGATGTTGAAGGGAAAACACCTGCAAAAAAGATTGAAACAACTTTATTTCCATTATGCTTTTTTTTATTTATTTTTTGCTCATACCATGCTTCTTTTTATCGTGTGTATCTTGTTTTACATTGTGTCATTATCTTGTTGCTAACTCAGTTAATTTTTGCTCTTTTTTTTTGCTTATACCATGCTCACTTTTATCGTGTTTTACATTGTGCATCTTGCCATTAGCTTTGTTGCTTACGCAGTTAATTTCTTTATCCCATAATATTGTATTAAGGGGAACTGCTAAAAAAAATGACTGTATCTGCATTCATATAATAATTTTCTTTTCATTGTAAGAATAAGAATGTCAAAGATAAAGCAGGGGAAAAAAGTTATAGTTGTTTCATTATTGCCAAGCTAAATGCAACTCTTATAGATCTGTTATTTGACCTGCTATATGATGAGGTAAACTTCAAATTTTTGTGAAATATTTACAAGAGAAAAACAAGGACCCTTAAAGAACCACTATTTCATTAAAATATTTACATTGGTTTTAAATGGAAGAAAAACTAAAAAAAACAACTTGGATACATTTTTTTCTATGGGATGTTGATGTTGGCACAAACTGGTGTTAAAAATATGGTCAAGGTTTCCAACCAAATTTAAAGAGAAATAGCACATTAAAATATTAGTAGTCCTTGAAGTTTCATTTTGTAATTCATTCATTTGAAAGAATTTTATTCTATGTCGTTTGCTGCCAAATTTAATGTGAGCCTAAGTAGAAGGGCCAAAGAGCTCTTGTGTTGCAGAGCAGCAGTGTTTAGACCTCTAGAAAGAAGCAAACTAATCTCAGACCAGCATATAATTAGCATGTGTGACTGTTGGTACGATGTTCTGTCTCTCACATGCTTTACTTGTTTCGCACCTAATATCACCTATTGTGCCTCTTTCAAGTTCCACCATAGTTTCCTCAACACACACAGTATTTTTCTAAAAGGTTTGGGGGATCATCAAGATTTTTTTGCTTTTTGTTTAAGTGAGACCTTCTTGTTTTTGTAACTCACCACTTATTTTGGTCTTGGATCAGGATTAAAATCTAATCATATAAATGTCATTCTTATTAAAGCTCCGGTGGGGAATGGTCATTTTGCATGTACTGTATTAGAATTGCTATAGAATTCCACTGAGGAAAATGTGTCTAGACAGGACAGAAATTATCAAATTTGGCTCATACCTAAACAAAAAGAAAAATTGGGTTAGAAAGAGAATGGTGAAAAATACCCACATAGAAGATTTCTTTGATGTCAAAGTTTGGGTAAAAGGGGCTATCTGAGCTTGACATTCAACATTTTATTTATAATTTTTTTGTGATAGGGACAAAGGCTGTTCAAATTAAAATATATATTAAAAAGTTGTTAATGGCCCTATTTTAACAGGTATAATTGTAATAAAGCAACTAAGGGCTTTTCTACCTATAAGTTGTTTAAGTATCTTCAAACAAACATTAATAATAGTGCATCATGATGGCAGTTTTG